AATTAATTTTACAAATAGATTTCAAACAAGCTGGTGCTTGACATCGTCTGCCAGCAGAGAAACTCTCTGGAACCACTGAGTAACTGAAGATTTCAGTTACAGCTGTTTTACTACAACATGCCAGCCTAGGAGTTATACCATCCACAGTGAAAGCCACTACGATCTGCACAAGGAACAGCGCATTCATAGAGCTGTTTTGCTGCAATGGTAACTTCTGTGAACAGGGTTTTCCACCTTCCCAGTGAGAAGGTTATGCAAGTTTCTCAAATGTTCCGCTGCTCATGTGAGAAACCGCATCTGTTATTTCTGCATCTCAGAATCTGTTCCTATTGATTGGCTCACGAGATGCCTGCCCCGTTTCCATCATTTATCACCGTGCAGTATAAAACACTTTGTTATGAAGCCCTTTGGGTGCATGCCAGTGAATCATACTTGACTCAGAACAAACAGAGCCAGGCACACCTCCCCTCTGGCCACACACAACAAAAGCTCAGACTCCGTGCTCTGATCCTACAAGTCACACAACACCTGAGCTCCGCTTTAACTGAGCACTGGCTAGTGTGCAGAGCAGATGTGAGGCAGTGCAGTCAGAAAGGATATGGGCAAGTGAAACCTGCAGCTACAGTTGGAGTCTCTTAGAAGATGACAAACTTAAAGCAAGAAAATATCATATACAAATGTATAGTAATGAAACAGAAGTAGAATTAACATCTGTTCCTAACGTAATATCTCGAATACAAATGGGTTCTCTATAGGGGATATATATAACAGACTTCCTTTTACTCCATGACATACTACTTATCTATTAAAGGTTCTAATGAATATGTAGAAGTGGCAAAAATAGGTTATACTGAATACATGGTAATGATTAAATCAGTGTTGTGGCCAAAATAGATCAGGTTATGAAGTTTGAAACTTAAATGATGAATGCAATTGTACCCCGACCAAAATAAGAACTATTGAATTTTATAATTAAATACCTTACAAGTTATAATGAAGGGGATGAAAGGGAAAATATTCTCTGTCCAATGTTATGTACTACATGCTTGTCTTTGACAAATGTCATTATCTTGTATAACCCTTCCCCCCCTTTCTTTTCTGTACTCCCATTGTTTCCCTAAAATAAATAAATAAAAAACCCTGCAGCTACAGTGTGTCCGCAATTCAAAGGCGGTGTTCTTTGCTCTTACAAAGTTTGCTTAACAGATCAAAATAAAGAGTACAGGAAGTTCCACTGTGAGTCTATGATATAACCCTAGCTGCTTCTGCTGAATATTCCTTTTTGGGTTTTTTTGCTGTCAGGTCACAAAAAACTTATGGTGATCCTGTAGGGTTTTCAAGGCAAGGGACATTCAGAGATGGTTTTTATCACTGTCTGGCACTGCACAGTAACTCCGGACTTCCTTGGTGTCTCCCATCCAAGTACTACCCAGAGCTGACCCAGCTTAGCTTCTGTGATCTGACAAGGTAAGGCTACCCGGGTCATGTTGAGTATTCCACAGCCAGACCCGGTACTTCTCCATCACTTTCCTTGACTCCCAAACATAAAGCCATGTTCAAAAACTTCACTGTTTCCTCATCCTATCTGCTTGCCCCCAGGGGTCGTTTCGTAGAAAAAGAGCTAGGGGGACTCATTAGCATAACTCATTAGCATATGCCACACCCCCTGCCATCACCGGAAGTGTGTCATAAGGCCACACCCCCTGACATCACCGGAAGTGTGTCATAAGGCCACACACCCGACATCACCGGAAGTGTGTCATAAGGCCACAC